GTCGATTGCCGAGAGTCGATTGCCGAGAGTCGATTGCCGAGAGTCGATTGCCGAGAGTCGAACGCGATCCCCACCATAGTAGACCAGACCGGGAGACAAGGCATCCAACCAAAAAGGACACTACCATATTTCTATGGCGAGAAACCGAAAAAGGATTCCTCCGTCCTCTGGTCTCACTAGGAGACCGGTTGTGACCAACACCGTTGAACGCGAGACTGGACAAACCAAAGCAGGGACCAGTTGAGGCAGCCAGGATTACCGGAAGTAAGGGTTGGACAGGCGCAACGGAGGCAACACCAGGACCAAGGGAAGAGCCAAGGGAAGAGCCAAGAGGAAGACCAGGAGGAACCAAGGGAGTGAAGGAAAAAAGAAAAATGAAGGAAAGAAAGAGTGAAGAGAAAAAACGAAATGGCCTGAAAAATGTGGGCGTATTTATATCTTTTGGTATCATCAACCCCTACAATTCATGGAAAGCAGTGCGCAGCGCACACACGCCCACATGATTATGATAGACTGGCAACTTGCGGTCCAGGCTGTTCAAGGACTCCCTAATACCATTTCCTGAACTTGCTGTTTCATGCTGCTGCTAGCCTTGTCGCGTAAACGGGTCTCGCGTTCAGCGTGGCGTGCACTATAATATATCAGAAATGCCATTTTTTGAAAGAGGTGTGTTTCAAAATATTGTAACGACTTGACGTTTGAATGATATCAAAACACCCTCTCCTTTTCTTCAACGATGCTGATGCTCGGCAGAAAAGAAAAGGGGATGTTTTGCTCGCACAAGGCACCATGAGGTCCAGCCTACGATTTTCACATGAGAGACTCCCAGCACTCCGTCTCCCAAGTAGACATCGATTCTCACGCAATTATCGGTTGCCGATCCTCCAAGCCCGCAATGATGGATGTGGACAGCTTAAACTAAACTGCCAAGGGCAGACTATAGAGCAGCATGGCTGTTTTCAGCATAGTATGCGCGTCATCCTAGAACTACTATTATCGATACAGGCTGCTTCTTCAGGTTGATAGTGCTGTTGGGTTTGCTCATTTTCTCATCCACCTCCCTTAGCAGTAGCGACACAAAGCCAATCAGACGTGGTGTTTACTTCCTCGGCGTGTGTACGGGTGATGTATGATACATGTGAAAAAAAAACAAAACAAAACAAAAAACAGGTTTCGGGCTGGTACCCTCCGAAAAAATTTTTCCTTTCGATTATTTTTGCGAACGAACTACGCGAAGATAGAAACAAAAAAAAATAGGTGAAAAACGCGTACCAAAGTGTGGTAAAGCGCGTTGTAATAGTGTTACATACTGTCGCTATGATACAGAAGATCTGTCATTGTTCCCCGCGTTGTTGGCACGGACCTGTGGGTGCGGAGTGGGGGTATTTTTTTTTTTTCAAAAGAAGCGGGGTCTTGAACGTGTGCATGAAAAGGCACCCATTTTCCGCAGCGTGCTGCTTCCTCGCTTTTTCTCGATCACATGTGGTAAGTCCCTTCCTTTTTTTTCAGTGTGTGTGAGTGTGAGTGAGGGTAGGTAAGCGCAAGGGTGGGTGCTGATGCTTGTTTTGTAGGCACGGGGCGACTTCTAAGTAGGTAAGTTGATTGGTGAGACCGCTGGCATCTCAATGCCGATCGGACCCTCCGAGATCCATAAAGCGACCAAGACAGAACCCAGCTTTGTGGTAGAGGGTTCGGGAGCAGATGCCGATGCACCTTCCCGCAAAGCTAAGACATCGACACTCTCGTTTTTGGACGAGCCTCTTTAGGAATTTGACCAATTTAAATAAAGGCCTTGTTGTTGTTGTCCCCCGTCTATCAAACATGTGCTGTTTGTTATTGTAATTTACGCGTATTGTATGTAGTCAAGCTACTACTTTAATTAATGCTGCATATTAGCTATCTAACCTCACCCAAGCTACACGTATCTTTACGACATTCTACGTTTTGAGACCCAAAGCAATATTTTTAAGGTTTGATAGCCTGTGAAAAGAAGAAGGTCTGACAACGTTGAAATTCTTAATGATGCGCGCTATACCTCTAGTCAAGAGTGTCGTATGGCAGATTCGTTACATTTCTTCGAGAGGAGACCCTTAATACATACATAGCTCTGAACAATACACGTCCAAAAAGTCGAGCGTAGACAACCATTTGCAATTAATCTGTGTGATCATGTCTATTTGATCTTTAACGCAAATACAATTCGATCAATCCAAAGTTTCTTCCCGATTTAGCCACAGCTCCGCGGGTATGTGCACAGGTATTGTTAATAGATGCTGTGGGCTGCGCGTTCCATGACGATCCAATTGAGCCAGTTTCCTCTGTTTATGCCTGTTAATTAATAAACATAACGTGACAGTAGCAACACATACAACTTATTATTATTGCTTGCTTGGTCTTAATAATTATGAAAAGCCAAGATCTTTAGTTGCACATCCGCAGCACGACAATTTCTTCCTTGACATATATGGAGGAAAATATAGCATAACAAACAGTTTGCGTGAGAAATCAATTCAAAAGTCTTTCACACACTCGTTTGGTATGGTATCGATCGAGAGATTGACCACAACATCAAATTACTGGTCCCAGTCTTGTCGGTACTGTATTATCCCTGGCGATAAGATTTCGTTTTAACCCTTCCCTACTCTTTCGCTAGGCACATTAGCACAGTTTATATAGTTTAAGCATTAATCGCATAAGATGGATGTACAGTAGTTTTCCACCAGGGTATGTAAAAGTAGTCATTCTTACTACATTTGTTTGGTACTAAGTCTTAGTTGTAAGTCAAGAAATCTCTCGGCGTATGATACGAGCTTTTTTGAGTGTGCGTTGTCAACTTGGAAGATCTTTTGGAAACACACCCGTATTCTTTCTTCTTATCTCCCCTGAGTATGATATGTATATGTCCGGCCGCTCCCTCGAATTGCATCTCTGACTATGGAAAATATGTTGGTCGACTGAATTTCTCTGTTCTTTATGACTGAGCATTGTACCATAATCGCACAGCAGAAAATAACTAACTACTACTGACACAAACATAGTAAGCACAAAACATGGCTTATACCGAAAACGATCGTATTTACCCAGAATTGCAGGAACACTCTTGATCGCCGCAATCATTATGACATGATACAAAATACAAGTTAGAACTTCTGCTGATGCTTCAATGTAGTACGGATTATTATACGTACGGACACTGGTGCAAAGGAATGATGGCTACACACTATATAATGAAAGCGCAGAAAAGCTAGCAATTGCAGTAGTAAGTGCGTTCTAGAAAAGCTATACCTGCGTAGTTGTAAAGATCTGAGTAGACAGAAAATCGTTTAAATTCTAACCCTTTCACTTTCATCTCTCTATAACATTTCCGTTAATTGTAATGAAGAATGGCAGACATGAATTAAATACGACAAAGCATTTACAACCAAATCATTGTCATTATCAAAGCGTTATCTTTTTTTCTCTGGTAAATCATATGCTGCTAGCCCTTTTCTTCACAATCATATCATGGTACAGGAAACATATTGAAGCACTAGAGATAGCACCGTATCTCAAGACTTGTGGCTGTAGTAAACACATTCACTGTATCCATCATTATCATAACTGTATCCACTCATATGATACATCCTCGTTAACGATCTCCTTAAAGAAATAAGCTCAAGTTAGAATTATACATTATAGAAAATGAAAAACATATGAAGTACATACACGTCATATGGTTTTGCTGGTGGGCTGTCAAAACAATCAAGTCAAAGATAACAAGTACAAACTGCTTTGGTTGCCAAATGACTAATTGATATTCTATCATCAAAAGAAGCTTGTTTCATCGGGGACACAGGTATGAAGTATCATTTGACCTTCTCGTGTTAATATAACATATTCACCACGACCGGTCATATTTTCTCAGGGCAACCTTAGTGATAGCATAATTGAAATACGATTCACAAAGCAAGCAAATTTCATGCTCGGACCCGTCATCCCGCACTGGTCTATCGCTTGTGATAAGAAGTAGTCTAAAAGTTGTTTCAGCTTCAAGGAGGGTGCGATTGGAGCTGGTGGCAACGGCGGCGTATTTTTTATTTGCATATAATGTGCAACTGTTATTGTAGCACACTCGCTAACTGTGCTACTTACACCAGTGAAACCATACATGGAAAAGTGACAGTGCTTCCATATCCTTTTTCCCCATACAAAGCCACACGGATTTCTTGTTCCGCAAAAGAAAAAAAGAGAGATGTAAATGTGTTACACGATAAGAATGATCTTTTGTTGTTAAACAAGTACAACAAGTGCACGTGCCACACAGGTTTTTATTTTTGGTAGCTCTTCAGAAAAAATAAACGCATGAAAGATTTTGGCATAGTGCAGTCTAGGTAAGACTTAAACGTCTCAACTAGATCATAGTCTTTGCAAAAAAAATGCAGCCATTGTAGAATAGTGTAGTTGAATATAACAAAACGTCATTGAAAGTGTCGATTGCTTAATGAAGTATTCATCCAAGCTGATGTAGAAAACGTCAAGTACACGTAATACTGATCATGAAAAAAAAAGTCGGCACTGTCGGTGGCGGCAACGGATGCTTGTCCGAAAAGTATGTACACTGTATGATAGTTGCCACATCGTTGTGATTCGTGCTACCTTGGATGGAAAAGAAAGCCACCGCTTTTATAATTGGTTTGTGATGGTATCGCAAGTAGATACACTGCAAAGCGTCCCCTTTTAATTATATACTGTGGTACACTGACTAGAAAACAAGCAGAGCAGCGGCGTAAAAGGAGAAAAAGAGTTACTGTAAGATGTGTGCGTATTATTAAGTTTAGTATGTATATATGCCAATGTATAAGGGAAAAGGAGGAGTAAATTAAGATCAAAATTGTAGAAAACAAACAACGGTGGGGTACATGAAATTACAAAGACTTTTTAAGGGAAACATAAAATTGTATATGCAGAGAGTGGATAGTAGTAGGTAGTAGGAGTGATATGCTGTTGTGATAATAAGCGATCTAAGCAGCCGGAGCACTGTAGCCCGCAATCCATCCGATAGAGTGGATTCCTTTAGGAAACAAGTGCTCGGAGTCAAGCATGTCTGCCACCGACGCATTTTCCAAGCAATAGCGTAGCAACAGTCGTCTCAATCGTTCATGTGAACTTCGGCAACCGGTCTGGTGTAATAAGCATTTACAACATAACTTTTTGTTAGCATAATTGATCTACTCTCTTCCAGAATGGTTTCCATTGACTACTTACCAAAGCAGCACGCTCAAACCAATACAGAGCTTCTTGCAAGTTTACAGACACACCCATGCCTCGTTCATGACACAATCCCAGATGATACTGTGCAGCGGTATGGCCTTGTTCTGCCGCGCGACGGAAATATTTGACCGCTAGTACGTGATTTTGTCGTACGCCGATACCTGTTTGCAGATGAACGCCCAACTTGTCTAGTGCGCGCGCATGATTTTGGCTTGCAGCACGTCGATACCAATGTACAGCACGCGTAGCATCCATTTCTACACCTATTCCATTGGCATAACCTGCATATTATAAAACTTTAGTGAACCTGCCATGAGTCTCTGACGGATGATGTTGGGATAGTTCTACTTACAAAAACCAAGATTGCACTGAGCCCAAGGGTTGTTTTGCTTTGCTGACTTTTGATACCAGCTGACGGCTTGCTTGGGATCCGCTTGATCCATACCGATACTTTCTTCATAGCAAAAGCCCAAGGAATTCTGAGCCAAAGCATTACCTTGTTCTGCGGCCAAGGTAAACCACCGGACAGCCTCACGCTCGTTCTTTTCGATACCAACTCCATTACGCAAGCAGAAACCCAATGATAATTGCGCTGGTGCATGGTTCTTTTTCGCGCTCAATGTATACCAATAAACTGCTTCTTGTTCGTTCCGTTCGACGCCAATACCATTCTGATAACAGAAACTGTTTATATGTTGTGCACGATAAGTGGGTGTGTCTTTTCTTAAAACCGTCTTATCACAAATAAAGAAAACAGAAATAGTTACCCGAGAGAATGAAAGGCAAAGATGTTGCCTTGTTGTGCAGACTTCTTGTACCACTTTACGGCTTCTTGTTCATTACGTTCCACGCCAATGGCATTCTGCTTGCAAAAGCCCAGGTTGTGCTGTGCCCGTGAATGGCCTTGTCGTGCTGCTTCGGCATACCAATATGCACCCATGGTAGCGTCTTGAGGCAAGCCAATGCCATTCTGAAAACAGTAACCAAGATTACACTGAGCCCAGGGGTAACCTTGTTCTGCCGATTGCTGGTACCAAAGGGCCGCTTGCTCCACATCTTTTCCAACCCCGATGCCGTCTTCAAAACAATAGCTTCAATCAAAAGCAAGCAGTGTTAGCAGCCATCATTTCAATGTGCAGATCGTGATGCTATTTACCCGAGTGAGTTTTGAGCGAAGGCATTGCCCTTTTCTGCCGACATGCGATACCATTTCACGGCCTCTTGGACATCCTTGTCAACGCCAATGCCATCTTCATAGCAATAACTAAACGGATGCAATTTAGTACTGTTGTTTCTACTACATAGCACACCCGGATAAGCCAATTGATGTTTACCCGATGTTGTAGATGGCAACGGTTTCGCCCTGACTGGCGGCCAAATGATAATATTTGAGCGCCATCTGTTGATCTTTGTCAACACCAAAGCCTTCACCATAACAATAGCCGAGGATGCCCTGGCCACGGCAGTTGCCTTGCTCGGCGCTTTTCTTGTACCACCCGAATGCAGCATGCGGATTCCTGGGGACACCGATGCCGTCGTGAAAACACACACCGAGACAATACTGGCTGGCGGCACAGCCCTCGGAAGCACCCCTTTGTAACCAGTTGACGGCAATGCTGTTACGCTGGACGAGTGCTTCCCAATGTTCCGACTCGCTTCTGTCGATCTTGATACCGGGCCGCCCATACTTTCGTAGAAAGGCCAACCTTAAAATAGCCAGCATCCGAATGTCATTAAATTGTTGTTGTTTCTGATCGGCGTTGTTGTTTGTCTTATTGTTGTTGTGGTTGATTTTACTGCTGGTGCCGTTGTCGTTATTAAAATCATCATCGTCGTGGTCATCATTATCGCCGTCGCCACATTCATTATTGGGAATGAAAGAAGTAGTAGTAGTAGTAGTAGTTGAAGCCATGTAGTAGCTTTCAGCTGTCCGGAAATCTTGTCCACAGCCAATTCCGAATTCGCTACAGAATCCAAGGATGGCTTGCGCGGGTGCATAGTCATGGGCCGTGTGTAACAATTCGACTGCAAGTGCCTGATCGCGTGGTTTGTCGTTCCGTCCAAAGAGATAGTCTTCGGCAAGCGATACCAAGGCGGCATGGTCATTGATGGGCTGGATGCTGTATTTCTTTATGCTACTTGTCGGTGATCGCTGCTTTCTATGATGACTGTGTAGTTTGACGAGTGCTCTCCGTGACGATTGTACAATCTGATCCAGTACAGAAGCGGACATGGTTGCCTTTTTGTTGTTAAGTTAAGGTATTATAAAGGGTAAGAGAAAGAAAGAAAGAAAGTAAAAGAGAGAAAGAAGAAAGAGATCAAATGAAAATAAGCGGAAAAGTAGAGCGAAGGAGAAAGAAGGGGTGCGGGGGAGAAAGAGCTAGCGAGAGGAGGGGAACACAAAGCAGCTTTATACTCGACTATTACCATTACATAGAGGCCTATCCGGGCGGGGGGTGGGGGTGGGTCTTGACATGTACAATCATGCATGTAAGCTCTTTGCGAAAAAGGTGCCTTGGCGCCCTCGCTTTGTGCTGCTGCTTTTGTGCCGCTGCTATTGACAGCAAACAACTAGCAACACTAATGCTTTCTTCTATCTGCTATTACTATCAGTGAAAGCCTCTCTTCTGTTTGTCCCTTTCCTCCAGCACTCCTTGGCCTGATTCATTATCCACTGTTTGAAACAACGAATAGACGAGATGCGCTGTGCTGAGCGTATTAGACAGTAAACAATGATGTAAAAGAATGAGATCAAGCACCATTTCATATGCACTCGTATGCCCGGTGGCTGCAATTGGATGCATTCATCATCATCAACCTCATTCTAAAATTAGTGTCTCTTGTCTTCATACATAATCCGATATTCTCTAAGTATTGCCGTCACCACCGTCATCATTATCATCATCAGGAACAAAACCGAACTGCAAGACCACAAACATTAACAACAACACAGGCTGTATTTGATTTAAGAGCACCTTTTCCTTGTGCAACCCACTCCTTTGCTCCACAACAGCAGTGAGAGCATCACTCTCATCCAAGGAAACGACGACAAGCGGACCTGTCGATCCGATGATTCTACATCAATCACGAGGATAACCGACGAAAAGAAGAAGAAAAGGTGGCACCATGCGCTCAGGCGTATACAGCACGGCTGTTCTCAGAGGCAACGACGCTATGTATTTTATACTCCTTTACGAGTCAAATGTAATATTTATTTACGAGTGGCCCGGATGTGTTCCGATATCCTTCTCTCTGTCTTTTGTCATGTTGGGATTATGGAAAGTTATACTATTTACAGAATACGTGGAAAAAAGAAAAGATTAAGGCATTCTCTTTTCTACTTGCGTCCAAGATACTTTTTAAACAATGCATGATGCTCTTTCGAACTGCCGGACTGCCCGCCACGACCACCTCCCCGCGACTGGCGAACTGCCCTCCCGAATTGCGCGAGTATTCCAGGTATGCCATGTTGTCTCCGCCAGCCAGGGTCTTTGACGTGGTGACCGATCGTTTGACCGGTCGGCCTTTGGCTGCAGCCTTGCGGTCCGTGATACGCCCGACATCGTCATTGTTACCCAAGTCTTCATCATTGAGGTCAGCCTGTTAAGGCACATAAAACAGCACATATGATAACGATCCGGCAGCAGCAACAAAAAGGAAATATTGAATTAATAACATTGTTTGCTTTCCTCCTCCGACCGTATACCGTCCCCTTCCTTCCTTCTCGTAACAACAAAAGATGTTTACCTCGTTTGTTAGTAACACCGACTTTAAGAGATCCATTTGCTCTTGGTGTGTTCGGAACACAAGGTTTGGATCTGTCTCCATTCCTTCCAGATTCGTAATCACTTTGAATGCATAACCTTGGTCGATTAGGAACTGCTGTCGCTTGGTCGAATAGTACATTTCTTGTGTGTCACGCGATACAAGCGAATAGAAGAAGGCATTGAAGCCCTCGTCGTTACGACGCTTGGCTCGCAAAATACGACCTAGTTGTTAATAATAGCATAATAAGAATAAGAATAATGATAACAGTAATGATGTTGATACATTAATTGTCATGTCAACTAAATCCGACTTTTTTAGTTGTAACCCGAATTCTGCCAGATAGAACTTACCTAAACGCTGGGCTTCTTGGCGTCGGGAACCATAGTGAGATGAAATTTGAATAAGGCACGTAGCTTCGGGCAGATCGATGCTGGTATCACCAACCTGACAATTTTTCACGTTAGTAAACTGTTAATCTCAGCCTGCATGAGATCATTTTTGTACCTTGGACAAAAAGATGGTGTTGACGGCCGGGTTGTACTGGAAGTTTTGAAGAATTCTCATTCGCTCTTGTTGGCCTGTGCCACCATAGATATAGGGTTTGCCTAGCTTCTTTGCATACTCCTATTTGGAGAAAGAAAAAGAACAAAAGATGAATGATTTCCCCAGAGAAACGCTTCCTTTTTCCCAGATCATCATGCAGCAGCAAACAGCTATCAAAGTTGTCACTTGATGTACGTTACCACAAGTGCATAAACGTTGTCTGAAAACACAATAATCTTGTCACCACGCGCTTCGTGATACTGGATCAAGTACTGACAGGCTTGCAGTTTCTTGGGGTTCATCACATAGAGAAGCGTCCGCTTTCGTGAATTTTCTTGCAGATACTCTTTGTAGAATTCAGGCGTCATGGGACACCACACTTCGGCGCATTGAACATTGGCAATATGTCCACGACTGGCTAGGTCCATCCAATTTGCTTCATAAAGTTTGGGTCCAATCAAAAAGTTGAGATCGTCGATCTTTTCATCCTCACGAACAAGCGTTGCCGTCAAGCCGAGCTTTGCGTGGGCGGCAATGGTAGTGACTACGGTTCGGAACATGTTGGCTGGTACAACGTGCACTTCATCCAACAACAGGAAACCCCATTCGCGCGACTCCAAGAATTCCATCATTTTCTGCGCATCGTAGGATCGTTTACGTTTGTTGGCAACCATGGAGTATGTAGAAATGACTATACCAGAACTTCCCGAGAACTAAAGATGTGTTTCCTTTGGTAAGCTCTCCTTTTCTTCCTTCACTTTCCACTCTAACCAGAAAGAAAAAGCAGCTTGTTGTTACCTTTTCTTTACAGTCGGAAGTAAACACAGCAATCTGATTTTCCTTGATACTACTCCACTGCAAGAACTGCTGCTTCCATTGCATTACCGAGACACTATATGTCGATCAAGTCATACGTATATGAGCAAAATGTCTGTTATCAAGTCTATAAAAAAATCCGACAACTTACGAAGATGTGCAGAGCACCAAGCAGCTCTTTTTGATGGTACAAGCAGCTGTGATTCCAACGAGCGTTTTACCAGCACCACATGGAAGCACGATAATACCAGATCGTGCACGTCTAATCAAATATTTACATCATTATAAACTTGATAATCCACATATTTTTTTTTTGCGTTTACACTTACCCGTTGCCAAACATTTTCGACAAACTTTTTTCTTGGTAAGGACGAATCACAGTAGTAGGCTTCAGATCAATTTCAAGATTGGCATTGACAGTGTCGTTACGGAAATCGTATTCCTCCAACATTGGGTAGTCGATATCGTTACATCGTTTTTTGATGTTCTATAGTAATAGCCATAGTATTTGTAAATTGCAATTTCTATGAAAACGAGGGTCCCCGATCAAAAAACAATTTTCTTACCTCGACTTGTTCCGCAGCAATCTCAAAGGCGTGGACTTGCTCTCCTTCATCCAAATCCTCTTCTTCGTCCTCTTTATCAATTCGCACAACTGCACCAAACAGTTTCTCCTCTTCTTTCTTTTTTGCCTCTTCTTCTGGCGATAGCTTTTTCTCACCACCTTCTTCTGTGTCGTTGCCGTCTGATGGCTTAAAATGATTGTTTTGTTGTTGTTGTTGTTGTTGCAAGCCAGGAATGTTCAAATCCTTGCCAGAAGGTTTGTTGTTGACTAAAAGTGCGCTTGAGCCAGCCGGTGCAGTGATGACCTGATCATTGTCGTCACGCACAATACGACCGCCACTGATCACTGGATCCTTTAAAAGCATTTGCAACGTTTCCGGATGTGAAGATTCGACGTAGTATCGGTTGTGTTTCAGAACAAGTTTGACTTTGCCGTACGATAAGGTACACTGACGGATGAATTGTGTGATTGATTCGGGAACAGGAACTTTGGAGAGACGGTTTAGTACTTCAATGATATCTTCTGTCTCTAAACCGACAGAGACTGCGGCGTATAAGGAATAGGGCGTCAATTTGTATTCATGAATATGTGCAGGTCTATTAACCAAAGTGTGAGTATACTTTATACTTGTTCTTTTTTCCTAAAACATATAAAGTATAGATATCGTCTTACCGGCTGACAGGCTCACTAATAGCAACAAGAAAATCTTGTGCTTGTTCAGCAATGGGCGAGAATCCTTCGAGAATAATATGACCATGTTCAGGACTGATCCAAAGCGGTCTTGAAAGATGATCTTTCTTCAATGGGAGATATGTGTAATCCTCTTTGCCAAACATGTGTGAAATAAAGTCAACTCGTTGGCCGTCAATCACCAGGCCTCCTCCTCCTCCTCCTGCGTCGTGGTGGCTGGAATTGAGCGATGAAATGTCCAAATTAGCGTTTCGAGGAACTGTATAAACACGACATTAGTAATCTTTCTTTTTTGCTGCGAGATCTTTTTATTATTAATCAGTTTGTACCGTGAAGTCGTAACTGCAACTCATCGTCTAATTGGACATCACTGTCTTCTTCGTCGGTGGACGTTTCTGTTGAATCATTAAAGAAGAGTTAATATAAGTTTAAAAGAAAATGAGCAAACCGATCCAATGATAATTACCATCGGTCTTTCTCTTGCTCATGGTATAATTTGGATAAAGAAGAAAAAGAATACAAGAACAGAACAATGTCCGCTTTATGCACCAGCTGCTCCCGCCTGACTGGCTCAGACTGACTGTTCCAAGAACACTGGTGATGCTTTATCCGGAAATCGCTGTTGTTTGTTCAACGAGCACTTGCTCGCTTTTACTATGCATCTTTACTTCAGAGCGACCGGAACCTGCCATCAGTCTATGAAAAACCTCATCAGCCACATCTATATGATCCAAAGATAGGGACACCACATCGAAAGGGCATACAAGGGTTTCGAGAACCTTTCTCCAGACCTCGACATGGTGACATTTTCAGTGAGTGCTGGGTGGTCCGTCTTAAATAGATGGAGCTGAAGGACATCCAAACCAATGCAAAAGTCTTAGCGTTAAGAGTGAAGGCTACGTAATAAAATATCATGTAAACAAAGCAATACTGATCGTACATGGCGAATACATCTTTATGTCATTCTTGTAATGCTTGATACTCTGCTTTGGCTTTTATGTACTGCACTTCCTTCAGAGTCAATTTCGCTGTTTAGACTTCATTGCATACATGGTTTCATCATTCTGTGAACAACCTTAATATCAAATATAACAAATTACCTCCTCTATTTCGCCGAACAAAATATCCTCGTCCTTGAAGCAATTGGCAAATCTCTGTACAAGCATCTTCCAATCCTTTGTGGAGAATGCAGAAGGGGGTGTTTCAGGCTTAACAAGTCCAGCACCGAATTCAAGCCAAGTCTATCGTCAACATGTTAAATGCTTTTGCAAAACTTGCACAGCTAAATAAGTATCCTTCCCATTGTAAAACGTACGTGGTCTGACATCTTTTTGTTCGATCATCAAGCCGTGGAACTTGTTCATTTTAGCAACAGCGTTTCTTTTGATCAATGTTTCTGCCGAGTGTACAGAATCGCTCAGTACACCATTAACCGATTCCTTGATCTAAGCAGGCTTCCACTCAATATCATGCCTGGAAAGCACACTGAATTAGCACAAAAAATTGATATGACACGGTAAAGCTTCCTATTCCTTATTCATCGCCTTTGGTTGGAGCCTCTGCTGCGCGCTTGACACCCTGAGAGCTCAGTCATGCTTTATACTGCTCTGTTACTGCGTCTGCAAACGCTACCGTGCCTCCTTGCACGTGTGTGTCCAACTCTGGATGAGTGGTATCCCTGTTTGATTCTTTAATTGTTAGCATAACGATACTAGCCGCTATCTGCATCATTACATTAAAGCCGTACGCACATGCTGTAAATATTCGAGAGGCTGTATGGGAGGAACGTGTGTGATAGTAGAAACAGTGTCTTGTGCATTATGCATTACTCCCACCTTTTCTTTATTTATTTCGCTGTGCGCGCCATTGGCGACATCCGACAATATACTTCATACTACAAAAAGCCCGAATACATCGTTTTCACACCGTCACACAATTTTCCACCTTCTACACTGGTCGTGTATAAATAGCAGTAGGAAACAAGTGAGAGATAGACCATTCATTCTTCTTAAAATAAACAGCAATCTCGATGACTTCTAGTCACTTTCTATTGTTGAACACCACACGGTGTATTGCCATAGAAAGAAATGAACAAAGGTCACACAGGTGCTAAACCTTTCCTCTCACGTATCAAACATGTGCACAATGGAAGGAAATTATCCCCTTCATCCTCTGTCGCCGACAATTTCCTCTTCGCCCTGCCTTTTGCTATGATCATTCACAATGCGCAAGGGCAGACCCTCCAATATGTCGGTATCTGTTTACAAAAGACGTTTTTGCTCATGGCCAGCTATATGTAGCGCTACGCAGAGCAACTGAATTAAACAACCTTCGCGTTGCAATTGACCTGTCAGAGACTGGAACACCACCTAGCACCAATATAGTCTACCAAGAAGTTCTCTGGCATCCGCCGGCTACTGTTCCTCAACAAGCCCGAAACTTCACCATCACCACCTACATTTCCAACCACAGCCACCTCCATCACTCCATCTCCATCACCTTAACTCTTTTATAATTTTGCTCTCTCTTTTCCTTTCTTATTATCTTATCATCATAACTTATCGAATTACCTTTAGCACACAATAGATATAGCAATACTAATAGTCAGTTAGCGTAGCGACCAGGTTTAGAGTTATAGGTATAGCAATCAATAAGCTCAACGAAGTGAGCAGGGTCCAGAAGGGGGTTGTGGGGGAACGCCACAAACCATCCAATCCGTTGGATGCCCCGGAGCGCAGCAAAGGGACTCATTTAGCCGAGCGAAGCGAGGCAGGTGGATGTTGATCAATGTTTAAAGATTTGCTGCCAGATACAGTCCTAACTGTCAATTATACGTCGTCGACGATCTCACCAAATTGTGTTTTGGTGTATTACTCGCTGTCATGTGTATGGGAAACTCGCATCAACGTCCAGTATCGTTGTTATCCACTAACAGTCCTTGTTTTAGTACAATTTTCCATCTTAAAATGCGTTGTCTACGTTGCCCCGCGTTGTTGACGGTACCCTATGCTTGGGAATATGCTAAGTCGGAAATTCCTGCTTTAGTGAGCAGCGCATAACATTCTGTGTCTCTCATCTTGACACTATATGAAAACTCCCTTATTAAAATAATGGCAATAAATCGTGAGCAAACGTCAAGCGATTTTGTACTCATTTGGCCATACGAAATTCAGTGCCACATTTTCTCATTCTTGTCAACGGAAGAGCTCGTTGAATGCTTGAACGTCTGCTTGCAATGGCAACGTCAACTCTTGCAGTGTACAAGTCTTTGGCACGATCTGCAACTTACGAACATCCGCCCTGATTGTTTCCAAATGCTACATCACAATACTGCCCATGTCAAAGCACTGTTCATAAACGACGACGGTACCGATCTAAAAGCTGCATTCCAGATGTTAATGTCTTGTGATTTTGAAAACTTGAAATCGTTGAGTAAGTCAACAAAAACAACGGCTATTCTGGAAAGTATATATAAGGTGGACCCTATTTAACGGTATTAGTACAAATCATCATACTTTTTTTGATATAGCTCTTAGGGTAGAGTTTCCTGACAACGATTTATTTCAAAGCGTGATTTATCCAGCATTACGCAATGTTGGCAGCTCCTTAGATGAGGTGGATTTTGCATATTTCGATTTCAAAACACTGTCTTTCGAACGGGTGCTAGAATACTGCCCAAATATATCACGCATCAAGTACAATGGGTGCGATCTCGAAGCTAGACGTGACGACGGCAATAACGATGAGGACACTGCAGCAAATAATCATGAAATGGATAACCATACCAGCATCCACAACGATATTTCTTCTTCTTCTACTTCGGCAAGCTTTCAACGACTCACACACATTTTTCTTCATGTTGACGGATACTCGGTGGATCCACAATCCTTGCGACGTATTTTACAGAGATCTCAGCGCTTAAAACAGCTGTTGATCAGTTACTGCAACCCAGAAATACTAAACGTGATCTTTATTTGCTGCCCTGAGCTCCGTTATCTCAACTTTAACATGTCTGCAAACCAGGATTATAACATTGTACGTATGGCATTTGCTGACGACGACGATGACGACGGAGAAGCAACACAGCATGGCTTGCGTGTAATGAAACTTACGAATAGTGGAGAACGTCCTATCACAACCGAGCAAATCCAACGATTTGTGACACGCAACAGTTCAACTCTGACCAAGTTTGAATTTTCGAGTTCGATCTATGTTGCTCATGCCGAACAACAGATACCTTGCTTCAATCAAATGTTCCCTACGGTAACAACCAGTAACAGCACATTACAGCGATTTCATTGCGACGCACCTATCGATATTTCATCATTACCCGACCTTCTTCGTCAATGCCGTGCCTTAGAGGACGTGAAACTGTCCAAAGTGGACTTGGAATGCCTTCATCTGTTATTGACACACTTGCCTCGGTTGTGCAAATTACACTTGATCAGATGCGAAGAGCTTCAGGAACGTGATCTGATTACATTCTTCGTCAGCTGTAAGGATGCATTTGCAAGCACTACTCGTATCAGTGGTGATGATAAGGAAGGATCTGATGTTGATCCAGTCAAGAAAACACTGATCTTGGAGGATTTTGCATCATTAACGGATACGTCACTGGATCATCTGGCTGACATTCCGGCGCTGCACACACTTGCGATCAAGGATTGCACAAACGTCACAGAAGTGGGATTGCAACATTTTGTTCGAAAGCTCCAAGCGCTGACATGCATCGAATTGATGCTGATGGATAGTGTCACAAACACTGTGGTCTCAACTCTTGGGACAATTTCCGGACTGGAAACGGTCAGCTTGGTGGCGCTGGATAGGGTTTCTCTAACTGGAATTAGTGAATTGTTGAACCCAGAGAACAGGACACATTTGCTCCGTCGTCTTTATGTTGTAGAATGTAATATCGCTGATGGAGCAGCATTGAAATCAATTACCACATCAGCGAGGGTAGCACTGTTTACAACTGGATCGCCTTTAAAAGTTTGAAAAGCAACGCCGATATCTCGCTGTTCTTGTTCATGTGTTTCCATATACCAAAAATTTTTTAATAAAGAGCGAATATATCTGTAAAGGGCTTGCTATATTCTGCAAGTACAATGCAAATGTTCAGCTTTCACTGAACGTAGAAATTTTACTGTATCAAATACACTAAACCGGTAACTGTATGATACTGCCAATAAAGTAAAAACGAAGGATTTTTTTTTCAAATCAAGTAGCATGTGCAGTATCCAGGGATCAAAAGATCACTTGATCAATAGAGTGAGTTTGGCAATCGCTTTCTATAACCAGTTGCCACATTTTATAATATAGTTCATACAGGCCTCACCGTGGATGATGATGAACAAGAAAGAACACAACGATTATTCCCTCTTCTTCGCAACTCTTTACATTTGCAGGGTCTAGGATCAGACAGATGGATATAAGAGACGATGCTTATAATAATCAGATGTCTAGTAACAGTGTAAGCATAAGCTCAGTACAGGTTCTTTAGAAAAAGCATTTGTGTCATGTTGAATGAAATTCAAGGTTTCTTATCGCTTCAGGTACACATATGCACTGTTGGACCAATCTCTTGTGAAGATCTGGCACAAAGTACTACTGCTGCGTATCTATATAGAAATAAGTTTGGAAGAAACTCTAAAGTTGCACGTTCAGTGCCCATCCGAAGCATTAAGATTGAGCCTTTTTTTGTTTTATTTATTATCATAAGAATTGTTAATTTCTTATGTTGGAAGTGCGGTTGTATGTTGTGTGTGTGTGTGTGTGTGAAAAGACGAACAATGCTTTGTTGTGGTAGTAAGGTGTCGAAAAAAAAATAGATGCAACTGGGAGTGAGGGGTATGCTGTATGCAGGAATTGTTTGGTAATGTGTGTATATATAGAGTGTCTTTTCTTCCTTTTAGAAAAGAATAAGAGAGTTTGAGATGCTGTCACTTTTACTGTTGTTGTTGATGCTGACGGTAAACGAACTGAAGGTCTCGAGAGTTGGGAATGCATGCCACTTCGATGGAAATTATCTCATCGCCGCTAAGATTGGTAGGATAGTAAGCCTGCTTCCGACTCGGAAACACCAAAACGGGCAATTTTCCTTGTCGGATATGCGAGTCAAACACGTCGACCCCTTCATCGTATGGTATTCTCAGCTTGTCCAGCTTTTTCTTGTGCTTGGTTAAGAGATGTTGGTTGTTGTAATCAAATGTGATCCATACGTTCGCTGTCGTGTTGGCGTTGCTGTTGGATGCGCGAAAGACCCAGATCTGGTCGAGACTCGCCACCATCATCATGTTGTTGTTGTTACTATCCTGTGTTCGTTGTTGCTCATGCGGCTGGTTGCTGTTGTTGTTATCTGTTATGGCACCGCTTAGGTTAAGACCACCCTGGATATTGTTGCTATTGTTATTGTTGGTAGCATTGTTGTTCATGCTCTTGTTGTAGAGCTGCCGAACGAGCTCCTCCTGTTGCTGCGCATCCAGAATGTCGCCTGGCGGTCCATTTGTCTTTACAGCGTGGACTCGGCCGATTGGCGAAGCTGTGTTCGACGGTGAGGGTGTGGTAGGTCCTACGGGCGAGGATGGATCGCGGCGTGCAAATATCGAAAATGGCCATCGCTTTTTCTTTTTAGGTGGTGTTGATGAGGAAGATGTAGTGGACATGGAAGGTGTGGTTGTGATGGAGCTTACTTGTGGCTGCGGCTGCGGCTGTGGAAGTGGATGTTGTTGTTGTAGCGATCGTTCTACTTCTTCTGCTACCGTCGCAGCGGAACCGGCTAAGACCGCAGTTGTCGTTATTACCGGTTGCACCGGTAGCGACTGTTGAGTAATATCCACAGATTGTTGCTGTTGCCGCAGCTCTTCTGGCGGTAAGACGTTTTGCTGTTGTTGTTGTTGTTGTTGTTGTTGTTGTTGTTGCTGTAGGACGGGTATCGGATCAGCAGCGACTACTGGATCGTCCGCCAATACTAAAATATTCCGTTTAGCGTTCTCCTGTGCAAGCTTCTCCATTTCATTCATCGACTCGTCGTCATCGTCATCGTCATCGTTATTATTGTCGCTATAGTCAATGTTGCTATGGATCGAGGTGTCGTCGTTGTCATAGTAATAGTTCTCGGCGCCAAGGGAGGCTGGACGCCGTGGTCGGTGCTGCTGATGCTGCTGCTGATAATAGTAGTGATGCCAGTCCTCATCCTGTAAGGTCAAAAAAGGCAATTGTTTTAGCCCAAAGAAACACAAAATTCTTTTTGCTCTCTCCCATTATCATACTATCCCCGAAAGAACATAAAAAGGACAGGCTTATTTTAAATGATAACAAGTTACATTACCGTTTCCTGGTCATCATAGTAATGGGTATCGTATCGTCTTGTTGCTGGTCGTCGTTCCCGACGATCCATTGTTGTGGTGGATAGAGATCGCCGTCTTGGTTGTGGTGGGGGTTGTTGTTGTTGTTGTTGCTGTCGTCTTTGTGGGGGTGACCTCCACTCCTGACGATCATGCCGCCGGTCCTCAACATCATCAAAGTCGCCACCATCGTCATGATGATGATACGCGGCCGAAGGTCGTCTGGTACTAGTACTGCTGCTGCCAGCACTAGAACGACGTTGCGGCGTTTTCCGTGACGATGCTGATGATTGTGACCGATACTGACGACAATATGGATCTTGACACAGAACAGCTGCTGCTTCGTCTCTCGATGCGAGCACGTTTCGGAAGGAATCGGCTCGATGATCCAGTCGGCTCATATGTCGCTTTACATAATCATCATAGTCGCGGTTGCTTAGAGATCCGAGCATATATGTTGACATGTGTTGGTGGTATCGTCCATAAAATAGTTTTTTTTTTTTAGTGAAAGAGTGCAAGAGAAAAAAAAAACAGGGGACAGGTTAAAAGAGAAAGAAGGGAGTAAAAAAAAAAAAAGAGATGATCATTCGGCCACAGTTGGTCCTGGGACCACACTTGGGTAGCACAAGCTTACCGTATTGTAAAAAACTTTATACGCGGCAAGTACCTGTGACATACGTATAGTGCACACCAACTGCGGCTGTAACAAAAGGCAGGCTGTTGCTTAAACAAGAAAATGACAATCACACTATTATGTACCTTTCCGCAGAAAGGTTACAGTCGTACCAACCTCCTCGAGTGAGATAAATCAACACAGAAGACCATCACTAACAATATTCCTTATGCAAACCGTGCGCGGAATCAGTGGCCTTCATGGCACCAAAACAAAACAGAGGCGTCACCGATTCCTTTGAAGGCAAATTCACGTAGCGACCGAAGCTTAAGATGTATGACGTTCAGGTTTCTAAGCATTCAATTCTCACGTGTATGCAACTGAGCGATATGCAACTCGCTTATTTTTGTGCTGTGCGTCATGACTAGGAACAAGCGTAGAATTTGCCGTCAGTACCTGACTACGGTACCGTAGAAGCCGCGATAAGTAGCACAATCGAAGATGACAAGCTATTTTACTCTATGTACGCCTTACTTCTGCATACATGTGAGCAAACCTCGGAGTAGCCGTCCTCCAAAGAAAAGCGGTTTCTTGAACCAGCATCACATCCAACATCCCAGTCCACTGATCCGTGCTGCCCATGTCTTCCATCGATCCCTCAATATAATGTATAACTTCTACTGTGACGAGCTACCGCTACGGGCTTTTAGGCTCCACACCATGCACAATATATAAGCGGCATCAGTGAATTGCTGAAAAAGCATTGATCAGTTTGAGCATATTGTAAAGTGTCTGTCGTATCCAATCATTTATACTCTACAACAACAGAAAACAATGGGCGAGAATGAAGTAGTACGCGCCATCATCATCTTCAATCAGCTCGCAATTTTTTAACAATGTCCACTTTTTCTATCAGAAAAAATTAGAAGGCAGGCCAATTTAACGTCGTAGAGGTGCAAGATGAGCAAAGTTCAGATATCCACCTCATATTGACGATTTATTCGACCTTTCAGCCTAAACCCCCCACCTCCCCGCAACCCAAACAGCACATGCGTTCAGCAAATTTCGGCGGATGCTGTCAAGCGCAAGCGAGCTCGTAACGACTCGATTTCAGTACGTACAGTTGTTCACTGATCTCGTATTTCAACAAAAAAGAGTGCCAATTACACTGAGACAGAACAGATGAGCAATGTCTGGTACATGATATTGTTTTTGCAACTACTAGCTGGATATATTGACATTGAATTTTATTCAAGAGCTTTCTATCCTTGTGAGCCCCTTCTTTTATTTGTGCAATGGATCCGCGAGACAAAGGACAGAGAAATTTTGTCCGTCGTATTGATGTACTGTAGATGAAGCGGCGGGCTATTTCTTTTAATAGCTTGGTCAATGAAAGAAAAAGATGTGTGATCATTTCCTTCGTTTGTTGTCAAAACGTACTTATAATAATGTTACGAAACTCTCAAAGATGGTGTAGGGTTGATACATACATATTGGCTGGACATGAGATACAAGTTCTCAACCGATACTAAACAAGCAAATAATATCTTTTGTGCACATCACTAACAAGGTTGAGCATAATGCAGAAAGACTGGTAAAAATTGAGTTTGGTCTCTTGTGAATGAAGTGGGGGTATGTCTTTACACTGTTTCCAGTTGCTGGCATACACCATCGGTCCTGTTGCATTTTCCAAGAACGGAAAAGAAACCGAGGCTTTTTGAAAGGGTATTCTTGAAAATTGTGATTGTGTGCTAATGATTTCGTTAACCATGGTAGGCGCACAAAACCGATGCGCTGAAGGTGCGTTGGATTATCCTGTAACGAATGCGCCCGGGTAAATCTGTATAGGGAGCAGAAAACAATAACAGAATGTGAATACTATGTACAGTATAGCACTATATCGACATCTACAACAGTGCAATTCTGTCAGCACCTGGACACTCCAAGAAGGTGAGTCTGTTTTCTTTGCCTCTGTATCTCATTCCATCTGTTGTACTTTATTGTTGTGAGGGGTGCTAAAGAGAAATCCCTAGCTCGAATTCCCTTGAAAACCTTCAAATGCGGACATGAAAATCGCTTGATCGAGGATGATGTAGGGAGAAGCAGAAAAAAAAAGTTATATGATGCCCTCCAAAACGGTATGACTTAGCACTTTTATTTCTTTGAAATGTAAAGGTTCAATATAATCATCTAAAGCCAGAGCTGTTGCTGTAAGCATACCATCTTCTTCTATGGTCGTTTTCAGGCAGCAGGGGTGACTATATCCACATCAACATGATGCTCCATGACATTTACGTAGTAACGTCGCTTGTAAAATAGCATGAGTAGTTTTTTGTGGCCCGCTTATTGTATTTGACCGAAAGCAAGTTATATAATAATATGCGGATAAACAAAACATGCGAGGGAGTGGTAAAAAGAGCTGCATGTTGTTGTTCATTGCTTGGAAACGCGGGGACAGGAGATGCAGAGAGAATGCCCGACAAAGCCGGACCGACAGAACTCAAGTGTTTTTTTTTCTTTCCTTTTTGATTCATACTCCATATAAACCACACTAGAGGAAAATAAATCTAAACACAATGCATCCATATTCATCCCCCAATGCACCACCGTCATCACAACGTAGTCATAATACCGATAACCATAGACCGCCACTGTTTTTGAATCCTAATAATATCGAACAACATCAACTACCGCCTCCACACCAACAAGCATCGTCGTCAATAATTCCGCACTCGGCAGGAGTGCCGAAAACAACACAAGTCCAACCCCCATTGCCTAGCCTTGAAGGATCGCCACACCAACACCCTACTTTACCTCTTCCACACCCCTTTGCTGACGAACAACAGCAGCAACAACAACAACAACAACAACGTGACCTTACTTCGATGGACGCAAACCGTCAAACAAAAAGAACGAAAAAAGATCGCGCATGTAAATTTAATTAATCACATAGTGTGGTCACCTGTAAACCTTGACTCATTCTGTGCATTCTCTTTCACTCTTTGTGTTTTTCAGGCGATCTTTGTCGACGAAAGAAAATACGGTAGGAAAGAAAAACCATTATTATCAATGCGTAAATGTTTGACTCTCCTTTTGCTTACTAATTACGTATACAATATAACTGTTATTACACTATAGATGTGATTACAGTCAAGCATATCCACAACTACCATGCACGTCCTGCAAAAGCTATAGCAAACAATGTACATTTAACGAGGTAAAATGAAAAGAAAGGACCATCTTGGAGAGACACAGATAAATAGGTGGGGTTTGACATCGATACTGACACGTGACGTTCTGGGTTGATGCTTGCATTAACGATATCTAGGCCGCCAGAAAGCGCGGACCACCAAAAGGATACGTCGAAGGGCTCGAGAACCGATTACGACGCATGGAAGAAATGCTGATGAATGTTGCCAGCACCGGACGATTATCACCCGAAAGCTTTCAAGATCTGATACAGGATGGTACTACTACTGGTAACAGTAACAGTGCCAAAGATGAATCTTCAACTACGACGCGACAAACAAAAAAGCGGACAGAGAAACGACAGAAATTATCTCCATCCTCGGCCTCTTCCCCTCCGTCTTCGACAGCCTCATCATCTAACAATGATCACGTCATGACAACCACCACAAATGATACCACCAGTAACAACAACACTACAACTGTTAAATCGCGACCTATAGGAGCAGCAGCAGCAGCAACAGATGTTTATTCCTACGTTGGCAGTTCGTCGGGCTTACACTTGCTCGGCAAGTTGTTTCCCGAAAGCGATTTTCAATCCCATTCCAACAATCCATCCGCATTTGCCGAACATGATTCGGATCTGATGATGAAACGACGACCGAGCGATACGGGCAGCGCTGGGATTCTACCGAAATTTTATCAGCATGATCATGAATGGAAATTGCCGCATAAAGAAGTGGTAGATCGGCTCGTTGAGTTGTAAGTATCTGTCTCGCTTATATATATATATATATATATATATATATAAACGACAGAGTTTTGACACGAATTATTAGGTATTTTAAAAAAATGAATATCTATATCCCCATTGTCGACGAATCCGAGTTTTACCAAGCCTATAAGAAGCATGGAAAGCAAGGAGGAGCTAAACCCGGAGCTAGTGCTGCTGGAAAGGGAGCAGGAGGAGGAGGAAAGGCAGAAAAAGACCAAGAAGGCAATGATGACAGTCTATCGGTCCCGTTGCTTATAGCCATCTGTCGTGCCTCGGCACGATTGCTCGACGAGGACGATTGGGTGGTCAAAAAACACAATATCAGTCGTAGCGATCTTTTTGTGCAGTTTGCCGACGAACTGTTGTGTGAAACGGTGGATTTCATGGATCCAAGCATTGAAAAGATCCAAATACTCTTATTGAGCTCGTGCAATGCAAGGAAATGGGCGGCCGAGAGTGCGGATTGGCTGGGCATCAGCTTGGCTGTCAAAATGGTAAATTCAGCAAAAGGTGTGGGTGGTCAAAAAGTGAAAACCGTATCGCTTAGCAAAAGATTATTGTATAGGCACAAGACTTGGGACTGCATAGGTCAAACACTCAACTGGGTTTGCCGACGCAGAAAATCGAAGCACGGAAACGATTATGGTGGTCGGCCTATGTGTTGGACCGGTGGATTTGCGCTACTCTTGGCAGGTAAATAAATAAAAACAGACTGGCAAAATTCCGGGCCCCAATGAAAGAAAAGCTTAAATGATGTATCTATTTAGACCTTTGACGATATCCGATGCAGATTGCGATGTAGAGTTACCAGCAACGTACAACGGGCAATATGTGTTTCTGCGGCATTTCATCAAACTGTCGGCCATTCTTGGCGATGTGCTTCGCATCTTGTGCAGTCCGCGCGCAAGAGCGTTTTCTGATAAGCGACGGGGAATGGAAGAGATCTGCCGGAGCTTGAACAGGTCGCTGGAACAATGGGAGCAGAGTGTACCGGACCAATGGAAGTTTAGCCCGGCTGAAATGGAACGGATTGAACGGAAAGACCTGGATGTTGATCTTGAAATCAAACTGAACCTCGGAGGTTTGTAAAACTTGCTGGGGAACTCGAAGGAGATTGTATTATCACATGGGCAAAAACAACTTGACTCACTTTTTTATGATTGATTTAAGCTGGACAGTTGCGATTAGCTTACTACTCGGTCTTGCTGTTGCTTAAGCGACCCTTCGTGGCAACGGGAGAAAGCAATGAGTTTGAGGTTCCGGATGAATGTTATGACGCTATCCAATCAATCCTGAATATCGTCGAGGTGGTCCAGGTCAAAGCAATGCTGAGTTTCAGCTGGTCCCTGACAAGTAAGTCGGCGACGCAAATATGGGATGACGACGACAGGCAGGCAGACAGACAGACGAAAAGAGAGAGAGAAACCCCCACCCCCCAAGGCTGATTATATAATCTACAAATTAGGTTACATCATGTTCCAAGTGCTGATAGTGACCCTGTTACTGCTCCGTAATCACGATCAACGAATTGCCACTAATGCGGAAGCTGCTGTGGAACGCCTTGCCAATCAATACCGTCGAGTCGAGGCATATATCCCAGAGGTAAAGAAAAGGAAAAAGAGAGAGAGAGAGAGAGATTTCAACAACATGATGTCTCTCTTTTTCGTATTATTTATCAGCGTATACGGAGGTTTTTTTTTTACATGTACGTTTTGGGAAACTAAACTTTATCTTTTGGTGTGGTCGAATATAGCCATCGGTGATACCAGTCTTGGAAATGCTCGCACGCCTGGTCGTAGACAACACCGGCGATATCAGCAACGGAAGCAGCAACAGCAGCAGCAGCAGCACTCATGGCGGTGTTACTAGCAATACCAAGAAGAATAGCAGTGACAGTTATCAGCACCATCACCACTACAACGACCGCCCCCGCCAGAAACCTCCGCCACCTCTCAATGACACTAATTCGTCTGGTGTGATTCAGTCACCGTCATCATCAGGCGAGGAGCAGCAGCAGCAGCAGCAGCAGCAACTCGGAATGCCTCTCTGGGGAGCGTCGAGCGGTTTAGACTGGCAAGGCACGTGTTTCGTATATTGAGTGTGATTATAGTTTTAGAGGGATTGAATCTTAATCAAGCTTTTCTTTGGGTTCTATATTAGATCTGATGGACTTGCTAGCGGACAGTGGATACCATGCACTAAAAGGGAAATAAAAAAAGAACGACGCTTGTCCATTGTAGCTGTTGCCTATCACTCCTGTACTTGATAGTTATGGTGATGATGATGATAGTTTTTTTTTTTTTTTGCACTTGGTTGCAGGGACCTCTTCAAACAGGAACTTTGTCCTTCCAGAGCGTGTTTCACGAAAGCAGCGACACATTATGTAACCCTGTGGTCGGACATGCATTACAAAACCCCGACGAATTATATAATCAAGGTGTTACCGCGGGATTGGATGGAAAAGGGAATCGCACACTTGGTGCTAGCTGATTATATATATAACAGCCAGAAAACAACAACAAAAGGTGTGCAAACCAGAAAAGAAAAAAAAGGGGGGAAATTTTACCACTTGTTCCATAGACACTTCTTCCTTCTTCTTCTTCTTCTTCCTACTACCGCTGCTTACACACATACACACACACACGATACACAACAACAACACGCACAACACACACCATATCAGCCATGTCCTCCTCGTTTGACTTTAACAACCATTCCCACCGTCGTTACAACCCTCTGACCCGCTCCTGGGTTTTGTGCTCCCCTCACCGCACACAGCGCCCGTGGCAAGGCCACCGTGAAAGCGCCCAGATCGAAAAACGTCCGGAATACGACCCCTCCTGCTACCTGTGTCCTGGCAACGAACGAGCCAACGGCGAACACAACCCGACGTACACTTCCACCCATTCCTTCCCCAACGACTTTGCCGCCGTCAAGTCTGATCAGCCCGCGCTGCCTGACACCCAGGACGACCTGCTCAGAGCCGAAGGCGTCCGCGGCGAATGCCATGTCATTTGCTTCTCCCCGCGCCACGATCTGACCATGGCCGAAATGTCCGTTTCGGAAATCGCCCTGATTGTCGACAAATGGACGAAGAGCTATAGCGAGTTGGCCCAGAAAGACTATATCAAGCACGTTCAGATCTTTGAAAACAAGGGCGCCGCAATGGGTTGCTCGAACCCCCACCCGCACGGTCAACTCTGGGCGACGGAACAGATCCCCGAAGAACCCCAGGTCGAGTTGGAGTCGTTGGCCTTGTACAAGCAACAACACAAAGACGAAAGCGACGAGTGCTCGTGCTTATTGTGCAACTATGTCAAACGCGAAACCGAGGCCAAGGAACGCATCGTGATTGAAAACGAATCGTTTGTCTGCATCGTCCCCTTCTGGGCCCTCTGGCCTTTCGAAACCCTCGTCTTGCCAAAGGACCATGTCTCCAGCTTGCCCAAGATGTCCGCTCAGCAAAAGCTCGACTTGGCCGACATGTTGCGTCGCGTGACCTGCCGTTATGACAACCTGTTCGAGTGTGCATTCCCTTACTCGATGGGCATCCACCAAGCCCCCGTCCAAGGCGACTACGACTATGCTCATCTGCACTTGCATTTCTATCCTCCTCTGCTCCGAAGCGCTACTGTTCGCAAGTTCTTGGTTGGGTAAGCTATAGTTTCTCTTGTGTTTTCTATTACAGAAACCTCCTATTAACAACTTGTTCTATGCATCTATAAAATGTATAGCTTTGAAATGCTAGGTGAGCCTCAGCGGGACCTTACACCTGAACAAGCTGCAGCCCGATTGCGCGCATGCTCTGAAGTTCACTATAAGCATCGGCAAGTCAATGGATACACTGCTTAAACCACTACCACTACCCAACTATTAGATTTAAAAGCTGTTTTCTGTCTGTTGTTTCTGTTGTTTGGAAGGAAAAAAGACCTTCGCTTAGAGAACACATGCACACACACACACACACTGTATATAATAACACAAGTTGTATATAAATATATTATATAGACTCTTCTGGAAGTGGCGACAAAAGATGTCGTCCTTTCTTAGACTATTGCTTTTTTCCATGCTCAATTGCTGTCATCATTCTGTTCTTGCTTCGTCCTCGTCTACTGCTGCTACATCTGCTTCTTCCAAAACTACAAACACTACTACTACTACTACTACTACCACTACTACTACCAGTACACCGGGTTCCGGTGCTGCAACAACTGCTCTCACTCATCCCCACGATGACAAACAGCAGAAAGGAGCAATGGTACCTGCGGCTTGAAAAAAAGGTTGGACCCTGTTTTTTGCCCTTGTTTTGACTTTTGGTGTGAAAAACTGTTCCCTTTGGCACGCGTGTGTGGTTTTTACCCATCATCCCTCATCAAATACCTACCTGAACGCATTCTCAAAGCACGTTGCGTCTTTACCAAATTGCTGGTTCTATTTTGTATCACTCTTACTACTACTACTACTACTATTATCGGCAGTTATTATCATTATCATTCTTATGCTCGTAGTTCCATTTATTTATAACACAATCTTGTACAATCACGCACAAGCCCTTTTATCAATTATATCCCCGTGCTAGGTAGCACAGCCTTTTATTTCATTATAGAATGCCGCTTGCATCCTAACCCAAAAACAGCAACAGGATTACCTGAGATCCTTCCACACCAGTTTCTCACACCTACCCGATCTCTCCCACAACACCGTTCTTTTCTTCTGTTCTGGTTAAACAGTGGAAACCCAGTCTGTTCGCTTGAATATAATTCCTATATAGCATCGCAAGAGTCCATATATACATAAACCAGACATGATAGCTTATTTTCAAACACGTTCTCATTGCAAAGGCGACCCCCTCTGCCTTGTCACTTATTAAGCTACTGCGATGAATCGAATATATCCTACTAAAACCAGCAACAAGTCACCTATCCAGCACTTGCTGCATTTATATGTTTTATACGGACCATCGACTGCTGTCCGGATTTGTCAAGTACAAAAAAAAAGATACTACCCGAGATGGAATTCACAATCATCTTTAGCATTGAGACGAACTCTCTGACTAGAGTGCAGCCACGAGTCCCAAAAGGCTCGGTCCTGAGTTTAGCTTTCGACTTTATGAGAATACGCAGCGACCAGACAGCGATCTTGTGTGGCGTATTAAGGAGTAAAACAATGTAAAGTTTATTGCGCACAATGAAGCTCTAAACAGCTTAACCTTTGGCTTCGGCAGCTTTCCAGAGAAAGGAGGACGACAGCAGCAGTAGTTGGTCTATAGGATGGTTGCAGGCAGAACCATCTACATTTACTCAACTACAACGATTTCGGTAAAGCGACTCATTCTCAGTTGAACATGATATCGAAAAGTTGTTAATGCTTCCATTTTTTACTCTCTTTTTGCAGCGGCTCTGCTGAAAATGTCGCGCCCGTTAAAGCTGCAAGCTGATAATAAGAAGCCGGAAGAGGGATGCGTTCTTACTCAACAAAACACGGATACGACAGCTGTACAATGATTATAGCGATGGCGGGTAACAGAACATGTACTTTATTTCTATGTGTTGCTGCAGCTACTTGTATATACGCTGACATTGGCAACCGAGTAGCTTTCACACCTTTATCAAGCGCTATAATATACGCCACAGTGCAAAAGGACACCAAAACGGAAGGAAAAGACAAAGTCCTGCCAGCCCTTGCAAGTCAGGTTCTGTACCCGGTTCAGACCATCTAAAAAAAACCGCCTTTCAATAGATGGTCGACTATCTATTGCCAGTTTTCTTGTTTTACAAAATGGAAAAAGGGGGTTTTTTTGAAGGTAGATAGATTTGATTTGGGGAATGAATAGAGTTGTGCAATGATGAATACTACTAATGGCAGGCCAATACTAGTAATAAAGTGTATCAGTAGCAGTCAGCAACACATAGATCGTTAGCAGAGTTGCTGGAAACGGGAAGATGAGGGGTTGAAGTATATATCAATAAAACGAACAAAACAGAAAAGAACAAAAGTGTATATCATAGTATGAATAAAAGAAAGTATCAAGTACAATCATATATTGCTTTTACTGCGCACTATGCACTGTACTTAACGAGAGAGAGAGATTCAAGTAGGCCTACTAGTAGACTATATCTGTGGAAGCACACGAGCAAATCGCAGTGTTGAGGCTTGTTATATATACATAACATTCTCCAAGGACACCAAACTGACAGTCTTGTTAATGCTAACTAGGTTTGATGTCAACGAGCATTATTAAAAGTGCCTTGATTGTGTGTGACTACACGATTTAGACAAAGTGTAATGATCTAGACATGTGCGTGCGTCGAGCAAACCATGACTGTAACGGAAAGAGGGGCGGTATCAATGCAATCGGGCCCGGGAGATCTGTGCCCACGGGTGAACACCCAGGTAAAAAGCAATTGTGTTACTATAAATGCGCGGCAAAGGCCAACAGTTTTCAGGCACCCCCTCTTTTTCCTGTAAATATCTCTAACACTTTTGCTTTTGCACTAATACACACATACACACACACATCATAGCAACATTTGATACAAAAAGAAAATAAAAGAATGGGGTCCAGCCAGTCGAGTAGTATCGGCAGTAGTCATAGTATTAGCATCCACGACGACGACGACAACGACAACAACCAAAGCGTCCGAATCAGCGGTACTTGTAAAAACAGCAATACCTCTTCAACCTACAACACTGTGACAGCAGATCGACTATGGATCATTGAGAACGCCAAAAAGGGAGCCCAAGCTATTGGCGTGACGCTCATGTCGCCGTTCGTAGTGATAGCATGTCCCATTATCGGCGCATACGAGTTTGGCACAGCATTGGACCAAGAGTTATTGACCGGCTCTTGCATCGTCGATGGGACCCTCGGGTTTTTGCTTGGTGTCATCGCATCACCGATCGCTCCGTTTCTTGTCATGTGGCAGCAAATGGAGGTTTTGTTTGGCACGACTACTCGGCCGCCACCGCTCTTGCCCTCTGTCGAGTATCGCGACCATGCGCGCCAATCGATGGGCTTGGACAGTGACAACTATTATAATGTGGCTATTGTCGGTTGCCCTGGAACCGGGAAAGTATGTTGGCTTCTTATAGATATCTTGACACTCGGTAAAATATATGTGTATTAATAGAAAATGTTGGGCGGGTTGCACATACATTTTGTATTATAGTCAGCATTACTCAATGGGCTACTCGGATACAAAGAGGGTCATGCCGATGCCGCTCCGGTCCGTGAAGCCGCCGACATCAGCAACACTACAACAACAGTAAACGCGCATGGTGCTCGTTCTAATAGCGGTGATAAGTCACGAGGGTACAAGCACCCATTACTGCACTCGCTCATGCTTTGGGACATGCCCAGTGTCAACTGCGGCAGCGCAAAGCAATATTTTCACAGACATTGTCTGGGTGCATTTGATGCGTTAGTGATTGTTTCTGCCGAACGACTCATGGCCACCGATATCAAATTGGCGAGACGCGCAATAGACTATGATGTACCTGTGTTTTTCGTTCGAAACAAAGCTGATGCGGTAACGTATATCTTTTTTTATATATATATCATATGTTCGTTGCGTAGTTTTGTCTATTCATTTCATGACTACACACAAAAAGGCAATCGCTTCCAAGATCCGAAAGATGTCCATATCAAATAAGAATGCTTCGAAAAAGTCACCTGCCGAGAAATGGGCTTCGGCAGTGGCACAATTGACGGAAGAGGTGGGTGTGACATTAAGGCGAGAGAGCATCTCTTCCATTGCTATACTACATGAAAAGAGAAACTTGCTCTTTGGCTCTACACGGCGTAGTATGTGTATGCTTACATGTCTCCTCTGATCATGATAATGATATTGCAGGTTGACAGGACCTATTGCCGAACCATGCGCAACTTTGGATTTGGTACAGAAACGCTCTATATCATCTCGGCGTGGGCACTACAGGACTTTGTGATTGCATTAAAGGATCACAAGCCAACAGCCGAGCTGCGCTTGATCCATGAAAAGCTGCTGATAATCAATTTGCTTGACGCTATCGCAGAACACCGTCGGAAATGCATCACGACCCATGCGGAGCAGGAACATGTCGATCCCATGACGTTACCGGTGTAATAATAATAATAATTAAAGAATAACTTCAAATGACCAGCATTGCCGTTGGCTGTGTTATTTTGATTTTCTCAGTCTTGGATATTGGCTATATGGTTTCTTTTGGTTTTTCGGTGCTGTTGCGTGATGCTTGTGAGTGCGTGTGAAGAGAGAGAGAGAGAGAGAGAGAGAGAGAGAGAGTACAAATACAATAGGGCGGAAGTAAGGGTGGGTGGGTGAAAGGGGCTCCCTTTGGTGGTGATATAATTTACAGATTCCCTTTGTGGATGTCAAAAGGCCTTCTTCTTTTCGTCAATGGAATATCCACCCGGGCCCATGTTGACCAACAACAGGAACCCACCCACGGTCGACAGCGTCTGGAAAAAGTCGTACTTTAAAAAGTCGCGTTTGAAGTAGCTGTGGCTGACCGACCAAAAGTTGTTGATGAGGATGTTGAACACGGACAGGAAGAGCACCAAGAACATGGCAGACCATCGGGCCTTGAACCCCACGGCCACCATCACACACGCCACCAGACCCAACAGCGAGACAAAGACACGCGAAAGCGACCAGTCACCATGGAATGCAGAGCCAATAAACAAAAAGATCAACAGGATGCGGCCAGCCAACTGCAGGTATGTGCGTCTGTCCATTTCAGACAGCTGTGGGAGTGCCGCAAACATTTGCTTCTGCTGCTTCATCGAGTCTGACAAAACCATCACCAGACCGCCAACCACAGACAAGTTGCGCAAGAAGAACTGAAAGTTGAATACTAAGCCATAGCCAAAGGCCTGCGCTACCACCGTGCTCAGTAGTCCGTATACTGCATAGTTTTGATACCGTTTGGCGATAACCAAAATTGAGCCTGCCGTCATAAGCTAAATAGAGTTCATTGATGTCGTCAGAAAAACACTCATCCTTTGGCGCGCAAAATATCCTTTCCCCCCCCCAAAAAAAGAAAAAAAGACCAACAACAAGCGTTGAAAATATCAGCAGCAAAAAAAAATATACGTTACAATGACATTGAGACCGAGAAAGAGATGTGAAAGTCCGGAAGGGAAATGACGACGTTGTTCCATGAACAACAACTGGTCTTCCCACTGGGTCGAGATTCGAAGCGCATCCTCAAGGAACGTGGCGACAATCAAGAAGCGGCCGATAATGGGAATATAAGGCTTCAACGGTTGGCCAACGCGATCAATAATATCTTCTGCTTTGGAGCTAAATGCTTCCAACTGTTCCTTGAATTCTGACATTGTATCCCTCGAGGCTACCGTGCGTCGTATGTATATATATGTGAAAGAGAGAAAGAGAGAGAGAGAGAGGGAAAAGCGGAAAACGGGGATTGGTCTGGTGGGCGCAGAAAAAAAACGGACCCTCTCTCTCTCTCTCTCTCTCTCGTGCTTTCCTAATTCCATCCCAATTAACCAAAATACGAGCATTGTGCGACGCGATTGACATTTTTGGGAACAACGGAGTGGTACGTGGCAGCAGCATAGAGGGGGGGGGAGTGCATAACAGCCTTTTACTACTTCTACTACTACTACCACACCAAAAAGCATACGTAATCAAGAACAAAAGAAAGACGTTTATTGATTCTACTCTCGATGGACAAGAACAAACAGTCCAATAACACCGAGTAATGCAAACTTGAGCCAAGGATAATCGTTCATAAGGATAGTCAGCATCCCGACATACGGCACAAATCTAAATAACCGCATAAACATCGTAAGCACATGTTTTATATGTTTCCATTCCCGCTTGTTAAGCCCATCCCTTCCGTCCCGCCCGTAGTTCCGACTCTCTCTCTCTTTTTTTTATTATTATTACCCTTTCACTTTGCCTACGACGTGCTCACGATGGATCCACATCTGTTTATAGTCGTACAATCCACGGTCGTCTCTCGTGTTGTTGTCACCTTTGGTCAACAGCATCTGCTTTCCCGTAGCCGCACTAAACACATCCATTTCTTTGAGTGAAACAACCTTCTCGTGATGGTAGAGAAGCGGGACACAAGTCGAACTTACTCGTCATGTAACTTGATCACCCGATGGACAATCGGCACATCACGTCCAGGCAGTTTGAACACACAGATATCATTGACATCGATGGGATCCTTTTGTGGCAACGACAGTAATAGCAAGTCGCCGCGGTCAAACCCAGGTCGCATACTTCCACTGGTAGCAGCATCCAATCATTGTTTTAGTTTTTCCAACTACTGTTGCTACTACTCACAAACTCGACTTACCTTAATACAACCACAATGGGGCTTTCTGTGTTGAGAGCAAGCGCAAGTCCTTTCCAAATCATGAGTGCTGTCGACACAATCGTCAAAATGTTCATCACTTGCAGCGCGACCTTTTTTTTTTTTTTTTTCAATAGTTTATTCAGTTCTTCTCATCTGGCCTTTTTGTGTGTGTGTGTGTGTGTGTGTGTTGCAAGACCATTTGTAATTTTTGCCTTAAGTACAATCACACAATCAACGCGATGGGAATGTGTTTCATTCTTTTTTATTTACCTGTCGCGCATTCATGCGTCGTAATTCTGCAAACATGATTTCGTACTGGTGATAATCTTTGGCAACACCCTCCCCCCCTTTTTTTTTGGTTGCTTGTTGAAAATTAAAGAACGCGTTTTCTTACCCTCTCGGTTATACATTACTCCCTCTTTGATTCATCCAATCAAATTGCAACGGTTGGCATGACAACATTTTTCATTTTAGGGCAAAAAAGCCAAAATGTCTGGTTCCGCATAACCCTTTTCTAGTCGGGATCTTTCCAGGGTTATGAGATCGAAGATCTTCATATCATATTTCTTATACCAAAATTTCATTTGCTCTGTTTTGGCAGCTTTTGTTAAAAGCTACTGAGAACCCTTGCAGGAAAATAAAAAGAGAGAGGGCCACTATATAAAGAAGGGTAAAAGGTGAATGGTTTAAAAAAACCTTCCTTTCTAAGCATGGGTACCTCTTTACTCTTTTTCTTTTCAGCTTAAAACACACTCTGTCATCCATGTTATGGACCACCTTTCGCACGAGGACACCTACCTTGGCCTGACATATGAGCAATTCATCAGCTTACGCACCGCCGCAGTCGCATGCTCCTCCTTATCCCTGTTTGCATCCTTCATCACCTCGGTCACTTATGTCTGTCTCCGTCTCATCTATCGATCACGAGCCGACCGCGTCTCGCTTCGCTGTGTGTGGGTTGCCAGCTTTGCCAACGTGGTTGTGGCCATATTGAACATCGCCGTCGTTGCGATCGACGATGCTTCACGCTTTTGTCTTTCTTCTGGTGTCGCCCTGCAGTTTTTTGGCATACTCGGCACCGGGTTCTTGACCATCGTCGGCATCAACTTGCTCATTGTCTTTGTCTTGAACTTCAACAGGACAAGCAAACGTCGTCTCCAGCTTTTTTATTTTTCGTTTATTCTGCTTTACTGCTTGTGTTCCATCGTGTTTCCCACCTATGTGGCACAACACCCGTGTGTTAGCGCCGGGGGCCATTCCTCTTGCTGGTAAGTAAAGCCTTTTTTTCCCTTTAAAAACATCTGCTCCACCGGACGTCTAAAATTGAATCGTTTCACGCGACATAGGTTTAATATATTTTATGAAAGCAGTCGATGTGGAGACGCTGTTTGGGTAAGGCCCCAAAGAATATACAAGACTAGAGAAAGGGAGAAAAAGTGTGCGTTAATACATCTTTTATAGATTGACCACTATTCCTTTCTTATGTTCCTCGTTGTTATTGCCTTTGGTTGCTCAGTCATAGCAACGATCAAGTTGGTGCGAGAACAGCATACCAAGTTTGGCAAAATCCTCAGACGCGAGCCCGTTCAGCGAAGACATCAATCTGCAATCATTGCCCGTGTATTATTGCGTTGTATCTTATATCCACTTAGTAAGTTCTATAGGAAAGGATACTAAGCACTTGCTTCGGATAGAGAGACTGGACTGATTATTATTTTTTTTACAATAATAACTGTAGTACCGTTCATTGCTAATATATGGGGCTTTATCGCTCAGTTACTGGTGTTCCGGAACAACAGAAAGTCGTCTTACGAGCTGGCCATGTTTGGAACTGTCTTTAGCTGCTTGGAAGGTAACGATTACTCTCAAGAAACAAAGGGTGTACACACACACACACAGATAGTAACCGTCCATACATTTATAGGCGTGTATATTACAATCGTATTCTTTACAGATCCTACCGTCACTCATATACTGTCTGAGGAATACAAAAAGCGATATCAATACTATGTGAATGAATATCAATGTCTCAAGGTCGTCAAACTGCATGACGCTAACGATGCGAATAGCAGCAGTAACCGAGTTCTTCTTGACGCATTGATAAGCAATTGCACTATTTGCCAACAGCAAGAAACAGCGACGACAACGACAACATTGTCAGTAGAGCAAGATGATTACGATATAACAGATCAACAACAACAACAACAAGTACAGGAGCAACAGCCGCAAGAAATGAACAGACGAGAAAAATCCTTGTTTCAACCACAACAACAGCAGTTGCCACTACAACCAAACGATTTCCGAATGATACCCGTACGTTGTGTTAATATCCCTCCATGTATTTTGCAAAGCACGAGTCCATCCGCTGCTTCTCGCGCCACATACAGCACATGCCCGAGTCCCGCCCTCGACGCAAGCTTTATATATCGACTTTCCGCAACAGACGCACATCGACTCGAACGTAAAGATAGAAAAGGCGGCGGTGGTGGTCCACCAAGCAGTCCGATCATCACGTATGACCATCCGGACACAACAAAGGCCTATATACCGTACCGCCATCCCCAATTCGCATCCTTTATGCATTGGTTGCTTTCTCTCATTAACAAAGAGAAACAAGACAACGGTGATGATGGTCCTTCCATGTCTGGAGCGTTGCGAACTGGCGATGATGATGATGATGATGATGATGATTCAGACCATCAACAACAACAGTCAGTCGCTATCCATATTCCTCATGACGACAACAGAAGAACTCTTTCAGAAACCGGACAAAGTCCACCTCCTAGTGGCGAACACACACTTTTAGCTCCTTTGACCTCACCCCTTAGCACTACATCAACATCCTTCTCCTCTAGCCAACTGTAGTAGTGTGCTGTTCCCACCTCTCTCTACTGTTTCACAATATGACTGATTATACCCACAACGTTTTCCACAACAGAATAAAAATTCCTCATCAGACAGCTTTTATTTTCTCTTTTTGTCACTTGGTACATCAACGTCATCATCATCCTCACTCATAGCTCGTGCACGTTTTCCTGTAGAGGATGTGGATGATGAAGCACCAGCAGCAAGTTCTGGATCAGTAGGCGCTGCCACACCGCGATTACCCACACTCAAAACAACATGTGCATTTCCCGTCCGCTGCTGTCGTTCCAAAAGTTTGGTCGCCAAATTCAAAGGTGTGTCGTTATTGCTCATCATGTTGAGTTTCAGTTCTTCCTCCAACTTGGCCATCCGCTTCTCCGTCTTGGTCTTGCCCGACGTCTTGCCGTGGAACTTGTGCGACATGAACCGGAACGCTTCCTTGGTGTTCATCTGATGGCCGTGTTCATCGTAATATTCGAGTTTGACATCCGGCTTGTATTCTTCCATTCGTTTTTCAAATTCTCGCATCGCCTCGCGTTCTTCAAGTTCCTTTTCGCGTTCGCGCTCGCGCTCGCGTTCTCTGGCCCGTTCTCGGTCCGCGCCTCCTCGTTGCTGCATATTGCTGCCGCGATACTCCCGATCGCGCTCGCGTTGTCGTTGTTTCTCTTGCTCGCGTTCGCGTTCCCGTTGGACGTCTTTCTTCTTTTGCTCCGCAATCCATCGCATCCGTGACGCCTGGTCTCGGTCCCGCTTCAGCTGTTCTTCCGTAGCCTTGGCAACAAATCCCTTCTGGCTCAACAGCGACAAGGTCGCTGCCATACCCTTGCTCACAAGCGGTTCTTCCATGATGGCGGTCGATGCTTCTTCTTCTTCTTCTTCTTTTACTTCTTCCGCATCTTTTTTCGTCATGGATTGCTGTGTTGATTCTTCTTCTTCTTCAGGAACGTCTTGTAGCGTCGTGGCAGTCACCGCTTCTTCAGTTCCTTGCATCGGCGCAGCTGGCGATTCACTTGCTGCCTTTTCTGCTACTGCCTGGGCTTCTCGTACAGACCGTGCTGGCTCGCGTGGCGTAAATACGCCTTCCGTACCAATCGAATTCACAAATTCGGTCATTTCCGAAAGCACCAATCCGCCATCTTCGTTATCGCCTCCTCCTCCTCCCTCTTGTCCATCATCGCCTTGCTGATAACCTCGTTCTGCAACAATGGATCGTGCGATTTCCTCCGGTGTCATCTTTTTCGATTTCTTTTCTCGTTGGCGGTTGACAGCACGTCGTGTTCGTGATAATGCCATCTGAAGATCGTCGTCGTCCACAAAACTGGTATCCGTGTCTATTGTTTTTGGTTTTGCCGTTGTTGATGATGCTTTGGACGGTTGCTCAGTGGTTGTGCTAGTAGTACTAGCTAAAGTTTCATCTTCTTCGTCTTCCGGCTGCTTGGTTCGTTTATTGCGCAACTTGCTCTTTTTCTTCTTTTTCGGCTTCTTGAAACTGAGATTGACTTCGTCTTGGGTATAATAGTCCTTGATTTCCTGCATCTTTTGATACGACAGGGTCTGTGCCTTGAGTTTTTCAGAAACGCTCTGCTCTTGTTGTTTTTCTTGAGCTTGTTCGCTTAGAATCCGTCCTTGTTCACCAATCTGGAATCCTTGAGGTCCAGTTTGCTCATCATAGTGTGGCAATAAACTCTTTTTCTTGCCTCCAAGAATAAACTCTTCGTCGTCATATGGATTGTAGCCTGGCTTCTTTTTCTTGTTTTCCAAATTCTTTTGCAGCCGTTCCTTGTCTTCTAAATTGACATTGGATAATTCATCGACCGCCTCTTGTGGATCGTTTTCATCGTGATCGTCGTCCAGAATACCACGGTCTTTTAACGTCAAAATCGTCTCGCCACCTTCTGCGAACTCAGACACGTCGTGAGCCACTTTTAATCCAGACAGCGCGTCAGCATCATAATTGTTGTTTGCTGTCGATTTTCGTTTGCTCCGAGTAGCGCCGTTGTTGCTGGAGGTAGCAAAAGCATCGTCCATCTCGGCTTGTTCTCGTGCTCGTCGTTCCGCCAATTCTTTTTCTCGTTTTCGTGATTTGCGAATCCAACTTAGTGCACTATCGTCATTTTCGTCATTGTCGACTTCGCCCAGACCTTTGCCTTTGAGTTTTTCCAAATTTTTTTTTCGATTTTTGGATCTGTTTTTATGAAAAAAGGGAATCCATATACGTTGAGTATTTCTCTCTCTAATTTCTGCGTACACTTTTATTAAGAAAACAAGGGAGCAATGCTTACTTTTCAATTCGTGCCTTAATTTCTTCGGCTTTCTTTTGCTTTTCTTCTTCTTCTTTTTGTTTTTGATAGTTTTCGTAGGCTTCTTTGTCACGATCGACAGATTGCTCCTCTCCTTCTTCGGCATCACCGTCGCCGGCACCGCCGCCTAGAGCAGGGAGACCTAATTTGGCTCGTAATGCACTATTATAAGTTGAAGAAGATGCCATTTAGTCATGTTATTTTCATAGTAGGTGGAGTTAAGCATAATTTGAACATACTTGGTCTCTTCCAGTGAGATCGATTCAGCCATTTAGTACAGTTTTAATACACAAGGGAAAAAAACCAAGAGTAGAAACCAAGTGTGTGCTCGAACCTCTTGGAAATCGACTGGCGGCACTTGAATGAGGAAGGCTGGGCTGCGGTGTAATCCTTTTGGTGTCTTTGCCATAAAGCTCCCTGCTTGGGGGAAACAGTGGCTTTTTAAACAAAATAGCATATAAGATGGGAGGACCTCGATTAGAAGTCGTAAAGGTAATGTTGTGCACCCATGAGCTTTAATGATACATATTCTACGCAGCTGAAACACTTTATATGTTTGGCGGCTCCCCTCTTTGAAAACCATCAAGACCAGTTTGAATGAACTTTATATCAAAAAACTAATGACGGCAACTCTTTTTTTTTAAATGTGCACAAGTTTGGATTCTATGTATTTTTCCCCGTAGGCGTCATGCTCTACTTTGGTGGACCTGACTTTTACGATAGAAATGTGAAAGGTATCAAGTTCTGGCCCGATTATGAAACGACCACCGTAAGTTGGAAACCTTAACTGTATATGCATAACGGTATGCGGGAGAGAGAGAGAGAGAACAAAAAAAAAAGGTTAACGAGATTAAATATTACTTGTAGAAACCTCCAACCACCTCGGACGAAGTGAAAGATGCATTAGTAACAATGAAAGCAGAACGAGAAGAACGATGGAGAAAGTATCGGGAACAGCAACAACAACAACAACAACAACAACAACAGAATCAACAGGATTGAAGGAAAATGCGAGATTTTTTTTTATTTTGTTTGGTGTGAAAAATGCATAAAAAAGAACGATGTAATGTACAACAACAGCAACAACAACTACAACGATAATAACTTTTTTTTTCTGTACAAAGTGTTTTCTTTTTGAGAGTGGAAGTATGGGATGCATTGTGGTTTATATATAGGATGTGAGTGTGGAGTATTTAAATGGAATGTCATGATGTGTAAATATGCGCTAAAAAGTGTTAGTAGTAGTAGTAGTAGTAGTAATACGTCAAGGAAGGGGAAGGGAGGATTGGGGAGGGGGTGGGGTGGGAAGAAAAAGAATGATCTACCACTTTTTCTTCTTCTTTCTTACAAAGTTAGCGTTCCAGCCAGAGTTTGTTTTTGGATCGCATTAAACGGAATGCACCGATGGGGACACGCTGCCAACGAGACAGGTCACGGGATAATCGGGTATCTAGTTCGTCAGCATCTTCTTCAGGCGATGGTGACCTGGACGAGGACTGTGTGTATAATTGCGACGTGTCTACTAGCTCATCCATCGATACCGGTTCATTGCTATTTGCTGCTGCTGCTGCTGCTTCTATTGACAACGGCGATGCCGAGGAACTCGAACTGCTTGTTGCATTCGATACCCGTCGCTTTTTCGTATGCTGCTCGAGAGACGAGGTCATTGGTGTTGTTGCACTACGTTTATGATGGCTGCTGCTATTACTACTACTATCATCATTGTTGTTATCGTGGTTCGAAGCATCTTGTTGATGAAGCAACGGCGTTGATGGCGCCGAGGAAGATGAGTTTGACGTAGTCGCTGTTGCTGCTGCAACAAGATCCAATAACTGTTCTTGAAAACTTTGCTGTGTTAATGCAGCTGCCGCGACAGTGGCAAGGGCTGACAATGGATCTTCTCCTGCTGCTGCTATATTGTGAGCGGTATCCTCTTCTTGACCTGTTGCTTCTTCATCCTCTTCCTTGACAGTCTTCAAATGCGGTGTCGTTGTCGTCGTCGTCGATGATAACTGTTGTTGTTGTTGTTGTTGTTGTTGTTGAAAAGGCATCGCCGACAATGCTCCTAACGCTTCAAACGCGTCCGCACCTGTAGTGGCGTGTGATCCACCGCCCCCTTGATGATGTGCAGAAACGGCACTGCTAGGTAACGAGGGTCGTCGACCGACTGCCACATCCTCGGTGCTTAACCCAAGCGCGTTCAAATCCACATGGTTACTGTCTGTTAATGGTGCGAGTATCTGCATGAATGCTGCTGCAATGCTGTCAAACAGCACACCATTGTCGTCAGTTGCAGCTTGTCCCCCTCCAACCGCACTCGTATCCATCATCACAGCTTCTTCTTCTTCGTCGTCGTCGTCGTTGCCATCGTCATCTTCCACATGATGGTAATGATGATGATGATGATGATTATGATGGAGCTCGTAGTCGTCTTCATCGTCACTTTCTTCGTCAGATGAGTTCCAACCATGGTATACGGTAATGGGATACGCTTGGTCTTCCATTTCACCAGTATCGCTTTCTTGTTGGACATAATGGATATCGTTGCTATCTTCCTCGGCATAGTAATAATACGCTTCGTCGTCACTATCATCATCGCTATCTTCTTCGTCATCGTCATCATCCTCTTCTTCATCGTCATGCACCTCCAATTCTTCAATGATGGCTCGTTCTTCGATCCTTTCGATATCCTCGTCGTCACCCGAGTCAATATGGATGCTCGAATTGCACGAGCCTGTGGTCCTGCTCTCGATATCAGTTCGACTGTCGGATAGCAAAATGAGCGAATCCATGTCGTCGTCGTCATCGATCGCTGCATCTTGATCATCATCAACGTCGTCATGGATAATAGGTGGCGGTGGCGGTGGCGCTGTTTTCAAAGACGTGGTAGGTTTCTTCTTTTTCGGTTTCCTTCGGCCTTTCTTGTTGGTTTCTATTGGATGTTCTTCTTCAAATCCTTCAACAACAACCACCTTTTGATCATCCGCTGCTACTGCTGCTTTTGCTGCTTTCTCTTCTGCCACTTGCCATACATCTGTGGCTACTGGCGTTTCGTTATTGATGAGGTTGGCGTCAATGTCGACATCGTCTTCGTCCATGGTGATATCAATTGCAACTGCTTCAGGCGCTGCTGCTGCTGCTGTTGTTGTTGTTGTTGTTGTTGTTGCTGTTGCTGCTCCACAAGTACATTCTGTGTCGCACACCGGACAAATGTCATCGAGATCCTCTTCCTCATGTGACAGAGATATCCGTACCTCGGGTAATTTGACAGGTTGTTCCTTTTTCCGTCGTCCTTTTTTATTCCGACCTGTAGAGAAAAAAAAAAGACGTTACTTCCCCAATTCTTCAAACGCCACATTTACTGTAACAAACCTTTGCCCTTGCGTCCTTTCTTTTCTGTTGTTGCTGCTGCTGCTGCTGCCTCTGCAGCCGCCTTGGCCGCTGCCGCTTCTGCTGCCGCTTTGGCTTCGGCTGCTGCTGCTCTCCGTGCTTCGGCCTCAGCTGCTTCTTTGGCTGCTCTAGCCTCGGCTTCTTGCTTGGCTGTACATGCATCACAAAAGTACTGGTCCGTCACTGTCTTTGGCTGGACACCAACACATTGTCCGTGGAACCATTCTATATTAGATGTGGATAGCAGGGTGAGTTGAGAGAGAGAGACAAAACCATGGGCTCTGTGAAGAGGGAAGCCCTAATTTGAATACCTTGACAAGCGTCGCAAGCAATCATAAATTCGTTGCCGTCATATCCTTTACGACAAATACAATACTGTTCTTGCTCGATTTCTTTCTTTTTCTTTTTACTGCTTTTGTTGCTAAGAGTTTTACGGTTGCTCTTGTTGCTGATCTTTTTTTTGCTATCCTTCATATCCGGAAATCGTCGATGAGCATAATGTTCGTCCTCTTCGCTGAAAGAATCAGACGATAACGGTGACGCATCAGACAATTGCAACGATATATCAGAGTCGGATAAAGTAGTAGTTGTTGTTGTTGTGTTGTCTCTTTTTTTCATCGACCAATTGCGCTTAAAAAGAAAACCTCTCCCACACCCGAGATCGTTGGTTTCGTTTTTTTTTTCTTTATGGTTGTTTAAGTAAGAAAAAGAGAGAGAGGAAGAGAGAGCGCACGCGTGTGCCGTCGTCGTATTTAGTGCTTTGTTTTTTCGTGTTTTGCGATCGCGTTGAGTTGGTGTATATAGAAATACGATCGGCTAACCCCTTCTCCTTTTCTTGCTCTTGTAAGGCGTGTTTGAACAGGGAAAACTTTTTTTGTGTGTGTGTGTGTATAAAAGTGAGAAAGGGTTTTTTTTTCTTAAGCAATTTTAGGTCGGCATTCAAAGCTGACCTTCTTTTCCTGCTACTCGGACTGGACATTGACGGGGACCAATTATTATTAAAAAACAGGGTTGTACGTTCTTTCCACTTGATATTTTTGTATGATCCACGATGACGCTCCTGGGATGGCCATTTACTGATGTTGTTGCTATGCCCGACTTTTTGAGAAAGCGTAAAGTAGTCCAATCCCCTGGACAACCAAGCCATCACGACCATCATCATCATTTACAACGCCCTTTTTGTTTGCTTTGCTGTGTTTCTTTTGTTTGTTATACCAAGTCATGTCGGAGAAGTAGTCGAACCATCCCACTCGAGGTTGTGTGTTACCCAATAACAAACAACTAACCGTCAAAACAGCCGCTGTTTTGTTTATTTTGGCTACAACAACGTCATCAAGCATACCTTGTTGGTCATACAACCCAGACGCAAATTTATTCGTTACTGCAACTGCAGCTTCTACACGGAAAGTCTATCTCTAGTACAGACACTTCTGTGTCTTGAAGATTTCCAGGTTTATTACTATATGGCTTCAACCATTATGACACACTACCAGGTGATACACTGTATGCGATGAAGGAGCAGAGAACGTCATTGTTTAAGCATAGTTGCATGAAAAACACCCGATAAGATCAACATTGATCAGTGATACTTTGCTGACAGCTCTTGAGTCCTGCACTCACGCCAAGTTTCAATCACCGCTACACAGCGCCAGCACTTTCAGCAGTAATGGGTGGGTCTGTTGATCGTAACGGTCGTATCTAGTCGTTTGTTATTAGTTTTCAAGCTAGCTTTTGACTTCCGGAGCGCTACCTTTTTTTTTACTTTTTTTCCGCTGTCGAGTAACTAAGTGACATACACCTTTACGTGTATTTAACATCATTTGACAACATATACAAAAAACAGCAGTCGGCAGCTAATCTACATCTATCAGCTACGGATACTATATAGCCTGTTTGATCGCTTCTAGCTTAGAACAGTGTGTTTGCCTTTCAAACCCCTTACACAAGACAGTACAGCAGCAGTCCCTAAAGAAACTGTTACTAAACCAAGGGACACATATTGCAATCGTGCGGCACTTGAGAGTAAGCATTTGATATGTTACCTCTGTATCAAGCATCATCTTGAGATTACAATAAGCTACTATTGATACTATAGTAGGCGATTTTAAAATTTTGTCAAAGCTGTTGCTGAGCAACAACCAAAGTGGCAAGTTTTTAAAAGTATGCCTTTCATGTCAGAGAGCTGGGATACCAACATCACTCTGGTACTACTAGTAAGGTCCGATTTTATTTAACCGCACGTCAAAACAAGAGCGGTGCTGTTAAGAAGTACTCCTTCCAATAGGCAAACATCTACGCCAAACAAGCACCTCCGACCAACGAGTAAACAACTTGCTCTTGAAGCCCAATCGGGAAATGGACAGAAGCTCAAAAAATAAAATACGGTACAGTACGACACTCGTTTATTACACGATCGCCTCGTTATAACATCCTTTCCATATTCAATAACCCAAACAGCATGTGTGCTATATTTCTATGCAGTAACCAGCCATTGCGATGCTCGTGTAAACAGCCGTTGAGATGGTCAATTTACAACCAGTAGC